ATATAATATACAAGTTTCACTTTTTAAATGGAATTACTGAAATCAATCTACTTTTTCATGATATTCTAATTTTATGACCAGCACCTGTAAATATGGACACTTCTTTGATTTATCAGCATGACAATCATCTGGAATAGAAAACCCCAACAGTTCCCGATATGATGGATGCTCTGCATGGTGCTGCCTTGTTAAAGAAGAAAAAGGAGGAAATAAGTTTAGGATTACTGGATCAGTTCCTGCAGGACATCCTGACTGATCTGATCAGATCAGATGAACAGGGCGTCTCCATCAGCTGTGGGTCCAACCCCACAGACAGCGGTTATCAGAGTTCCCTTCACCAAGCCGGATAAATAATCTGAGTAGTGACTTCTTTTTGAGTTGAAGAATTAAGACATTTTACTGAACAAGCTTTTATTCCCAATGGGACAGGATGCGGATTGCCAGCAGGTCAACCCATGTTGCTAATTTCAGTGGGAAAGAGGCTTTACAGTGCATCATTGAAATAAGTAATGTAAACAAAAAGTGAGGCCAAAGCAAAGGGCTACAATGCATTAGAGGATCAGGTGCCCTGATTTAGCCCCACATACTGCAGCTACCAAGCAATGATTGATGCCACATGTTCCTGCTCCTTACCCATTAGCCAGGACTCTTTCCTTCACCTCCTGCTCCTTCAGTTTCTCCTCCTTCTCCCTCATTCTCAGTTCTTGATCCCTCAGCTTCTCCTCTTTGCGAAGACGAGCCCTGGAAATGAAATATAAGTCATAGCAGGTGAGCGGATTCAGCTGTGATGTTAAACCAGGGTCCTCTCATGAATCCTGGATCGCAGAAACACGGCAGCTCCCCAGACTTCCCAGAAACCGCCCTGAGCAGCAGACCTTACATCCGCTGCCAGGAGGTTTTCCTCCTCCTCCTCCTGAACAGCGGTCTGAGCAGCTTTGCTCCAAACGTCTGACGGAGATTCTGTAGCAGGTTTCTTCCACCTAATGCTACGTTCACACTGCGATTTCAGCAGCAAAAAACCTGTTGCTTCATTTCTGCTGCTCGTCCTCATTAAGGTCAGACGTCCAGTAAAGTGAGTCCAGA